TCTCATTAGCTCATTAAAAAGTTGGACATGTCAGACAGGAAGTGAGAGGGATAGGCAGAGTGAAAAAGAAAAGAAAAATCATCACTACTATTATTCCCTGACTTCCACTGTGAAAAAGAACTACACTTTAGCATACAGTACGTTTAAAAAGAATACTTATTGTGGAAATAATATACTTTGAGGGAATATACCAGAGTGCAAACTTAATGTGATGCTTTCAGACACTTTCTTGCATGTTTATTGCAATTAACTGAAAATGTATTACAGTTTAACTGCAATGTATATTAAATGCAATGAGCTGAACTTTAGAGTGTTTTTCTCACCCACTCTAGTAGGACTTAAGTACAGCTTTATATGTAATTTTATAATTCTATTGTATTTAAAATCAAAAATGGTTAATGTTTATGTTGAATGTACTGACAAGGATTTATGGTAAACTAATATATACAGTACTTAATTGCCATTTCTATTGAAACTTGTATGTTGTGCATTTAAATATATTTTTAATTGCACATTAGAAACGATGAAGTTGCAATTAAATACATTTAAAATATATTAACATGAAATATAATATTGAATAACACACTACTGATAAAATTATAATCAAGTACTTTTCATGGGCTTTAGTATGTTAGTCAACACATCAAAATAAGTGTAGTGCTTTGTAGAATGCTAAAAAAAATATTAAAACAATTATTCAAAATGTTCATTAAAGTAAAACTTTTAATTTGACATTATTACAAAGTCTACTTACAGTAAATGTGCTAAGAAACAGTGATGAAAGTGTCTCTCTTGATGTACACTTAAGTGGCCTTTTATTTCATTAATATTCTATTATCTGCTAATACGGTATTTTAAAAATATCATTCTTTTTCACAAGGGTTTCTCTGCCTGAGAATACAGAGTTTTGTGGAAGAATAAAATAGGGTGAATTTAGGGCCATGTTTTCACATTCATGTCAAAAAAGCTTTTTGCTCTTTGTTCATTTCTCTCCATTATCCATACACTTTCATTCTTCTTTGAAAGAAATATAGGCTATGACACTGAAAGTGCTTTTTTAAAAAAAAAGTATATTAAGGGACCATTTTGATAAAGACAAAGGTAAAATAATGTGGCCTAGTTTATCCCATACCCATACACAATACCTTTATGAATTTAAATTATAAATAAAAGATATCTCCTTCTAAAGGTACATTCTGACCAAATGGGTGCTTCATTCAAGGTTAATAATGTGTTTGTTTGGAGCCTTTTACTCTAGTTTGACTCTAATTTGCAAACAGTAAACAGAAAAATTGGACCTATTCAACATTTACATTTATTCATTTGGTAGATGCTTTTATTCAAAGTGACTTACAAATGAGGAACATCAGAAGCAATTTACCATAAGAGCCTACAAAATTTGCAGAACACAATGCTAGACCAGTGTCTTATGTTTACTCTTAAAAAATGTGCATAAATTGTATCTATTTGAGTAAAGCAGCTTGTCACTGGGGTAGTACCCTTATAGATAATCCTCAAGAATATTACTACTCTAAAGTATAAAGATGCACCTTTAGTTGTTGTACCCCTAGTTTTGCAATTTTTTTTCTGGAAGTGTAGAGCACTTTGACTAAAAACTAAACAATAAATGAGATTTTAGTTTTTTCTGGTCATGTTTCATGAGCTACTCCGTTGGTGACCCTAAAACAGAGGTGTATTTTCATAAAAGACCTTTGCTAAACAGTTTAGAATATATTCTCACTTATTTATTTCTGTTTCAAAAACGAAAATAAAGGTGGCATTAGTGCAAATGGAACTATAAATAGGCTTTAAAAGAGCTTTAAGAGCATTCTGTAAAGAGTGAATGCAAAATATAATTTTTTTTTTTTTTTTTTTTTTAGAAAGCTCTTTATTGTAATGCAAGTCCTTTAGAATAGATAAAGTCCTTTTGAAGTGACCGTGTCCTGCCAGAGCATTGTTAGGATGTTGCTGGCAAAGGTCAAAGTTCATTAAAAAATGTTTGATCTTGTGTTTTGTTCACTGTGACATGAACATCAGTCAGACCTACATTGTACGAATCATTACAACTTTATCCTTTGACATTTAAACACTCTTTTTCTTCTGGGGGTGGACAGGTTAGTATGCTCTATAGGTACGCTCTCAAAGACATTTCTTGTTCCCTGGTGACCCTGTCCTCTGCACGGTCAATAAGTCTGAAGTCCCTTAACACTGCAGTGAATTCAATTGCAGGTCATATACTGTAACTCCGAAGCTTGCATACAACACTTTAAATATTACTGGTTACTTTAGCAGAAAAACATACAACACTACCGTTTATATTCGAATAACCACCGGTTATACACTAATAATTATACTTTTTGAATTAAATTAATACTTTTTTTCAGCATTAAATTGATGAATAGTGGCAGTAAAGTCATTTACCATTTCCAAAAGATATGTATTTCAAATAAATACTGTTATTTATTTGAAATATATTTTCCATTTCCATTTTAATTTTTAAGTTTTAGTAATTGTGTTGTTTTGTTGTGTTTTTATCATTTTTAGCTGTCAGTTTTTTAATGTCTATATAGTTTCATTAATTTCTATTTCAGTTTTAGTTATTTTAGTACAGATATTTTAGTACAAAAAAGTTTTTTTATGTTTTTAATCTTAGTTTTTGGTTTAAGTTTTAGTTAACTGTAAATGTCCCTGTTTTCAATGGCAATAACTCTTAATTTGCTGTTTATTAATAGTAAGGTAGTTGTTACGTTTGGGTATGGGGTAGGATTTAGGGATCTAAAATATGGTCATGCGGAATAAGGCATTAATATGTGCTTTGTAAGTACTAATAAACAGCCAATATGCTAGTAATATGCATGCTAATAAGCAACTAGTTAATAGTGAGAATTGGTCGTTAAAATAAAGTGTTACCGTTTACACTTTTTGGCCAACTGGACCTACAAATTGCCTACTTAGTTGTCTCTGCGCATTAAGCTGAATATTTTAACATCTACAGTAGAACTGATTCTGAGTCAGTTTACATTATGTTGGTGTGGTAAATGATCCCCAGATGTTATTCTAGATGAAGAAGGATCAGATCAGTCATAAAGCCACTGCAGTGAGCAGATTGCTTTGTGTGCTGCATGATGCTGCACACTGCCTCAGATTTATGAGCAACATTGCCGCATAATGCATTGAGCTAATTGTTTGCATGCCTCCTTATTTGGAGGGTGATACTGATGATGGATTAGTGGCCGGCTGTGCCACTCAAGAAATGAATCAGATTGTGACCTATCAAATGTATCCCATGAATCCCTCCCCAGAGGTCTATCAATTTATTGTCTGCCAGACTAACTGCTTTAAAACAAACCACTGTATGTAAGCACATCCATAATCCAATATTCAGATTTGTGGTAAATTTAATATAGGTTTTCAGTGACCAGTTATTAAACTGTGCAGGTCTCATTTGTGGACAGCAAATTTGCAAAAAAAAAAAAAAGAAAAGATTTATGCTTTGCCTAAAGGAATTATTACTACTAGCCTATAGAACCATTATATATATATTTTTCTTAATTCTGACAAATACTGTACATCCACTTCTAAATTAATGCATGAGTCCTATTATTCCCAAAGACATTTTTTAATGCGAATTTTAAAATAGATACGTCACACTTTATGTAATATGTATATGTATCTCAGTAATAATAATACAATTTGTTTGTGGTTTTTTTTTTTTTTTTT